TTTATATAGTGTTTTTCAGTGTATCATGTGAATCACATCGTTAAGTGAAGGGTCTATCCCTAAATGCCCTACTTTTTTTCGTCGGGTTTTTAATGGTCTAGTAATAATTCAATTTACCATTTATGGTAGTAATTTAGTAATTATTTAGGGTTAGATAAGGAGCATATGTCTAATAGGGGAACAATTTTACAGTGTAATGGTATGTACTGTTATAAATACTTAAATAAAATGTGTACGAAAAGTTTAATATTAAATAATTAATTGAAAATTAAAAAAAAATATTTATGTAAACGAAGACTAAAACACAATTGTGCATTACACAAGCACTAGTTTAAATTTTGCATAGTTCATTAGTTCTATATATGGATCATAAGTACTTACAAAATAAATGACTTTCGTTGTATCAGCTATTGATTATTAATATAAATTTTTCTTTGGGGGTCTTTTGTGTTTTATTTCTAGATGAAGTTGTTAATATAAAATATTATATTATAATATAACTGTAACATAATTATAATTTGTTATAATTAAATATTACTTGACAAAGATAAACAATAAATGGGTATAGTTTTTTCTTGGTGGTCTTTGCTAGTTGCATTTACTATATGTGGTAAAGATTAACCTAGAATTAAATTTACATGCTATGACATTATTAATTTTATTGTAGTAGTAGTTACTCAGTAGGAAAGCTTTAATATATTCATGAAATTACTATTAATATTCAAACCTAGCAAAGAGGCATGAATATGCTTATTACAAAAATTAATTTTTCACTTCTATATATTCTGTAGTTCAGATAGTAAACGTTGAGATTTTGGTTGTTTTTATATTAGTGACAATTCGTAATTTTCAACAATTTGTGAATAGATCAATAGACATACATAGAGATCTTAGGATTGATTCAGTGAAAAAATATATCAGAGACAGAGCTCTAAAATTATTCACAATCCTCAAGTCCATTTCTGGATTCCCAATAAGATATGCTAATTTAAGGTCCGTCATCAACTAAAAGACAAATAAATGATATGATTTCTTAGCCTAATTAAAGCCTAGTGTGGGGTAGTGATAACCCCCCAGCCATTATAGAGTAAAAGTGCGTAATAGTACTAACTCAAGAACAAGAAGAATAGATACTTGAGTATGTGAATGTGAAGAATAAATTAATTATTTTAAAATACTTCTAATGACAATATCGTCCTGAAATTTTTAAATTTTATGTAGAATTTTATTACTAATCGAAACCAAAAATATTATATACAAATATTTGTAGTATATTCTTTCAAAATTCAATCAATGGAAATATAGTATGCATGTGTTTGATGTGTTTTGCTGGAAAAAAAAAAAATAAAAATTTCAAAATAGAGCCTTCCTAAATCTGTATAAAATAAAAAAAATGAAAATTCTGAAGATAAATTTGGAAAACATTTTTTTTTGGAAATTTAACGGTTAATGTCAGTACTTAAATATGAACAATCTTAATTGTTTAAACAATTTTCTATAGTTCAATCAATTATCTTTAAAACGCAACAAATTTCAAGTTTCTATCCTGAGATATGGCCATTTGGAAATGTGTCTTGAAAGCCATTTCTCAAAACCTTATGGGTTCATATCTCCTAGTAAAAAAATTACAAAATTTTTGCCCTAGAAAGAATCTGATAAAAAAAATTTCAGCTAAATCAGAGGTGATGTGGTCATTTTTTGCTATAATCCGCCCGGTTTGTAAACGAATGACCCACATAGTATTACTATACTATATATATATCCATATATATGGAGTAAGAAATGGAAACTTCTCAGGGTATGGATTTTCTATTTATTAATATTACTAATAATTCTATATATTAAATCGTATCACGCTTTTAGGGCAATGCTATAAATCACTAACAACATATAGTGCACAATTCTCGATTTATTTAATAATATATTAAATGCTTAAAATATTTGAGTAAGGATTCATAATCCAAATTCATTTGTCTAGAATAGATTTACAGTGATATTTCTGCACCCGTCACTGATTATACCTCAGTCATTATTTAACCATTTGCCTCACTTAAACTGTTTTGGTATTCTTGTAATTTTTCCTGTTTTAGTCTTAGTTTTACAATTATATGATAGTTAAAGTAAAAGGTTATAAGGCAAAAAAATGATAATGATATAGTACAATAAATAGAAAAAATTAAATAAATAAAATGATACCTCAAGAAGTAAATAGATTTAAATATAGCATTCTAGTAAAATTGCTAGAAAATATGTAGCAAGGACACAAACCACTTTATAGTAAATTGCTTTTACAAGAAGCTTAACGTTAGCTTTCTTTCAAAAAGCTCGATTAAGACTTTTCATATTTAAATGAAAGCTTTGTATAATTGCAAAGCTACAATTAAGTTTTGACTATAATACATTTTAATGAATTGATTTAAATTTGTTTCGTATATAGGCGTTTCTGAACCCAGATATTGAAGAATTTTTCGGAATAATCGCAAACTATGGAGTGAATAAACTGATTTGCTCTATTATATATTATATGATTTAGTTATAATTGTGTCTATTGAACTTTGGAATAACAAAATTATTTATTGGAGTAATAGAAGTTCGCGGCTGTCTTTAGCAACTTAGATAGTATGCCACAATCAGTTCATCTATCTGTTTTTTTTTAACAAATCTGTTTATCAGGTATTTTATGATGGACTTGGAATCTTTTTCCTCTTCACCTTATTGTTATAATATGTTTCTGGGTGCATGTAAAGCAAGTTGACGATGAGAAATTGGAGCATTGTTTCTAAAGCTTTATTGTGGTACTCCCAATAATTCCAGTGTTCCCTCTGCATAATATACGCAAGTAGCGGTCGGAAAAGTATGCAGCCAGTTGAATATTTCTCTTATTTCGAAAAGCAGATCATTAATATGTCACTTTATATGTAAATTTCAACATTCCTCCCCGCATTCCTCTTTAACATTTAAATTTCGTCACTGTGAAGTGTTACCCACATATTGAGAAACACTGAAATAGGGATTAGTTTATTGATTCCCTTTTTTGATTGAATCTATAACATTCTAATTCCACACAAATATTTAGATACTATTCTATTAGCCTGATTGAGCATGCACCAATCTATCACAATAGTCCTTAAAGAATGCAGTGATGTGGTGACATAGGTTCCAACCCTTTAAAATCTATCTATATATCAATTTAATATATCATAGTTTTATTTGTCAAAATTTCGGTATAAAAGGTATTATTTGTTAGATAAAAGTAATTTTAAAAGATATTATTCCATTTAATATCTACATATATTTTATATAACAATTTATATCAGATAAATAATACCTAAAAACACTTTTGACTAATAAAATGATAAAAGCATATGATTTCTTTAATGAGCGTTACGTTCGCTGCATTTGTGGAGATGTCTTGGATAGCAGAGCGAATATATTAAATTTGTCTAAACACTCTCTGAAAGAAGTACCAGAGATGATAAGAGAATATAGTTTCTTAGTAAAACTATATTTGCACGTAAATGAAATAAGTACTGTGAGTTTAATATAAGTTCATATATAATTCTAGTGTATTTTTATTAAAGTATAACCTTTCTTTAAGCTACCATCAATTTCCAATCTAACAAATTTGAAAATCTTAACATTGGATTTTAATCAACTTCAAGAGTTTCCAGTTGCTGTTTGTAGTTTAGAAAACTTACGTTTTCTCAATATTAGTCACAATAATATAGAAGAGATACCAAAAGAAATCGGAGAACTGAAATTCTTGGAAGTATTGTGGTGTAATCATACAGGTCTCATGAGCATAGCAGAAGAAATTGGTAGTTGTATAACACTGGACACACTGGGAGCACGAGGAAATAAATTAG